TAGTATATCAATGAACTTTGAACATTCTTCTGGAAAAATTTAGTTTATATAATGGAATTAGAATCCGGCTAATATATATAAATGGAATAAGAAAATGTTTAATCTAACATAGGGGAGAAAAAAAATTCTTTTATTCGGATTTTAATGTCTTAATTTAATTTTTGCATAAAATTTGACAAAATAATTGTCACGCCCTAGAACCTAAATCCGGGCGCGAAACAGATGCCGTACACTTGTGAGAGGATCCCACAAATGCACAAGGCTCGAAACTTATTCATACTACAAAATCTGTTTTGATACCATAAAATTTCAAGATAATTCTATCTTACAACAGAAGGATAATATATCTCAAAAATCTAGGTCCAACATGACTTAACCTCAAAATAATGAGTCTAGTGATCAAATTTCAAAATAAACTAAATCCAAAATGTAAAAAGTCTAACCTTCTAACTCGTCACTCCTTGATTTTTGCTTCCTGAAATGGTGGACAAGAAAAACTAGGTAAGATAACTCAGTAAGTAAAACATGGATAGCCCATAATTAAACTCATAGTATGCCAACAAGTGTAATCAAGAAAAATGGATACAGTACGGGAATGAAATAGACGTCTCCTCTATAGGTCATGACCAGCGTTTATAAACCTCCCACTGGCGAGCACAAGATTTACTAGTGCACAATCCCACTAGCAGGATAACAATACAACATGAACGAACCGGTTCTATCAGTAACATGTCGACATGTGCTAGTATTTATAAATCTCCCACTAGCGGGCACAGGAATAACATGACCATATTGGAGACAAAACAGGCAGAATTTAACAGGAAAACTATAATTTACAAATAATTTTCAAATCATCAGGACAGTCAAGTAAACTTCAAGTAGGCATGCATAACTCAATAAAAATGATAATAATTTTCATTTCAAATCAATCAAGCTCAGATGCTAAGCAAAATCGGGTTAAATCCCGCCATCATCTCAAAAACATTTTAAAATATACTTTCATAGCTTTTACCTTAAGTCCAAGGGCATTATCACAATTTTACTTACCCCGAATCGCATAGAAAACAGAAGACTCAATCCAATGCTAGAGTGACCGAAGGATCAAGAACCTAATCAAATAATCCAAGAATTTAATCAAAATATCCAAGAATTAATACCGTACTACCACGGATTCCAAGTGAAATCATCATTAGGACTACCCCCTAATCATGATGCTATTTATACCAATCTCCACATGACCGAACATCTCAAATTTTATTCTCATATAAAACTAAATATTTAATCCCTTGTTATTGTTGCCGGCCATTAATCCCAAAATGCTATATTTATTTATTCATTTTTACTTTTCCTCAAGGTTAGAACACTGCAACCGAATTATATATATATACATATACACAAATACATATATATATATATACACATAGCTCCCTAATCCCACAGACAAAAATGGAGAAGCCGGCCTTTATTAACTTAATCCTTTTTGGCAAAACAGTAGCTAATCACGGGATTTTCATATAAAATGCCACAACAGCCAATCAAGAATATATTCTACATTAAGCAAGCTTAAAAACCAATGTTTTAAGGCTGCCGAAACTCCCCCATTTCAACAGAAATTTCCAACGGACAAAATGGAGGAACTGAGCTTGGCAAAACAGCACTAAGACCCGGCTATGCATACAGAACATCACAGTAGTCCAATCACAGAAAATTCTACATGAATTAAACTCAAAACATGTTTCAAAAGCTGCCGAAATTCATCCCCTGTACAACAGAAAACTTTCGAACAACAGGGCAGGAACTCAACAATTTAAACTCAGCAGGGCAGCAACTAATTAACCATTTTCGGACTTAAAGATGCCATCAACATACCAGAATTTTCCCAGCAGCCAAAACCGGAGCTGGCGGGTATGGAGGCCGACAGAGACTGGAGAAGAAATCATGAAAACTACCACAATATGGCAAGAAACAAAAGGAATTAGAGTGACCCAAGCCAAATTAAAGCTAAAGAGATGAACTTGAAGCTGCTTCTTACCGAAAATCGCGAAGGATTCACACCCAGCAGAACCGCGGACGGACAAAGGGGGAGAAACAGAGCAGATCTGAAATTTTCCGCAGGGGGGAGATTTCTAAGTCCTAAGTTCGTTATTGAACAAGAAAAGGAGGGGATTTCATCAAGATCTCACCGATTCTTCAAGAGGAGTGCGTCGGTGGCTTGGGGAGAAACTTTCGGGAGGTAGAGGAGAAGAAGAAGGCTGAAAGCACGTGTGTGGCTGAGGGAGAAAGAAGAAAAAATATCAATTGATCCTTATCTTAATTTCTCTTTTAAGTCCCTCACTTTTGAAAATTTTTCTATTAAGTTCATTAATAATATTTCCTCACGGTTAGGTCCCTAACTCACACTTTAATGTTCTAGAAAATTTTGGGATATTACAATAATTTTATAAAATAAATATATAATAATTGAAAAATATTTTGATCTAAATGAA